CATTGTAACACTATTTAGCTGTCAGCTGTTACAAATACTATAACAATCTATTGTTTTTTTCAATTGGAATATATCCAAAACAGTGTTATTTTTCAAAGGAGCCCGTTAAGAATCAGTTTTTCTTTTTTCTACATAATAATATAGCTTGGATCTTGTGCCGTTCTTTGTTTTATTCTCCGTCTACCAACCACTCTGTTATTAGATTATTTTGTGACCAGCAATCAATTGACGTACTTTATAAAACTGTCAAAACGAGACTTCCGTACATTTTGTATGGTCATACAAAGTGACGTCACCATTTTGTCAACTCAATTAAACTACTTTTTTCAATTACAATGCAACCAATTTTACAGGTAATTTAAAATTAATTAAGTTTTTAAGACCATTTTGTGTCTTGGCTCTTGTAGCGTAATTTTATCTTTCGTCTACCAACATGTTCAAAGTTGGACACAACAATACAAACGGCAGTGCCCTTCGGGATAACCGGGACAGTCCAACGCACATAAATCTAAGCCGGGACGTCTGAGCGTTGATTGCGCCGGACGCGGGGAATTGACGGGATCAGCTGACACCATGAGTTTTATTGGCAGTGCAAGATGCTGATTTAAAGTGTTTACTTTTCTATTCTGTAAAAGGAATAAGTCGGGATAGCCGCTGTAGAATATTGGCAGATGATGTGATGTAATAAGTAATTACGTTTGAACGTAATAAGGTGTAAAAAAGTTGCTTAGAAGTTCATCTAATTTTATCCTTTCCAAAACAATAGGTTACATAAAACTAAACAATCACACATAATTTTCAAATCCTCTCAAAAACCAATCGTGTGTAAAGATCATTAAAAGTCGCACTTTCACCTTATTCTAGAGAATGTTATTTGCACCAAATCTTGATTTTATTTTTTAAATGATTCCATGAATCATAATGTTTCTCGGTAATCTTAATGAATGCATGAACTGTAGCCAAAACATCCCACTTCTTCTAGTTTTGTGTACAAATCTGACTCAAGCCAGACAATACTAAATGTTTACTTAACTGACAGCTAGTAGGGGAGACTGAGGAGAGTTGTAATATTGTCGGTTTTTGGAAACCTATTAAATATCAGCGAGCTCGCAACAGCGCTTATTTGTTGGCTCGAGACTTTCACTAAAAACGTGCACTGTTAATAGCTCGCTAGTAAGTAGTTGATAAGTTTTAAAAATCTGCAATGATACAACTCGTCTTTGTTACAACTCTCCTCGGTCTCCTCCAATGGTGATTCACAATGTGAAACGTCTTACAATCAGCCGTAAAAACGATTGTATCAACACGCGCACAAACTACGGTCTAATCTTCGAAAAATCTCTTTGAACAGCTAGGTTAATGCTCACATTCCGGCGCACTCTTCGCATAAATGTAATCCGTAGTTACAGGGTTGATACAACTACAATAAAATGATTAAATTTACTGTGTGGTTCACAAATACCTACCATAAGTGATCAAAAATTAAAGATGAAAACTTTATCATAGATTTTTCCATCAAATGAAAACGCATACTTGTTTTGAAAGGTTTTGAGAAGGTAGAGAATACAGTTTGAAAATATTGTTAACCAATCATTTGATTTGTTTATACAGATTACAAAACTACAGTAAAAATATTAACTAGACAACCCTGAATCCGCCATAAACTAGTTACTTTACCAGCTTTACGTTTATAAAACTTGTATAATCTTAGCAAATAATTCCATGTATTTACGGTTTTGTTATGCAATGTGGATCCAAATAAATATCGTGGCAATGACCGTGGCCGAAGGTTTATGATCATCATAATTCATAATAACACACAAAGCCCCTTTTGTACGGAAGTAAATTTCTTTGCTATAAATATGTAATGTTTTCTTATTTTCGTAGTAGGTATGATTATTCTGCCTCTTTTATGTAGGTATAATAGAAAATTGAAAGCTTTTCCCGTGCTCAAAACATAAAAACCCAATTCTTAACTTTTATGACTCTAAAGCATTTGTTCAATAGAAAATAAAACAAAATTTAACTACCTACAGGTCATAATTTAATTTGAATAAACTGAAAACTATACTTATTATTAGAATTTTTAAGTGATAATTAGTTAATTTAAAACACCCAATTTATTCATTAATTATCTTATTTCATAATATATTTATGGTGTAATCTGTAGCTAAACCAACATTCCTTACCAACAAATAAATTATATTCGAATAAGTTTGGTCGAGTATCAATGAATAAGAAAATGATGGGGATCCCACAAAACTTTTGGACGACCTTAATCGAATTCAAGTGAATAATTGTGTTACCGAATTCGAAGATTTGGAACAAAACAATCGACAAAACTTGAGTTACGTAACAACAAAATAATAAAGAAAAGCCAATATGCCTTAATCTCAACTGAATTTTTTTGAGATTTTAGATTTATGCTTTTATAGACAATCAAAAGGAGGTTCGCATCTTCATTAAACTTTTCCTGGATGCAATCAATTTAGGAAGAAAAGTATTTAATATCTGTAGGTATTATGTATTTGTATGATAGTACCTACCTATTAACAAGAACAATACTTTTTATAAACTACTTAACTCAAAGAATTTTCTTCAAAAAGCTACCCAATACAAACGAAATGAACTGAGATGTTTCCAGGCAGAGTTAATTTCGTCTTTCTATCAAGATCAAGATTCATTTTCTCAAAAGTATTCCAAAGAAATTAGCAGTATTTTTTCTTTTATACGAAAAAGGACAACGTACCTAATTCCATTAAAATCTGTGCTAGAAAACTGATACAAAAACCGATGAGTTGTTCAACTATATTTGAATGAAACCTTAGCAAATGTTGAAAGGAACAAATTACGTAATTGGATAGGATATTGAATCCCAAATACAATTTCGCAGTTCTCGGTAATTTCTCAATTCTGTCACTCGCATATGAATCGTTATCGGTTCCGGCGTTTGAAGATCCACGCTTTATTATAATGTATAAGACAGGCGATGGCATATCAAGTTATGCGTTTTAGGACCTTATGATCTTGTAATAGATCCTGTTTTGGAGTGTTTGCTACCGTACCTATATTAGATCAGACAATAGCAAAATTAATTTAATAAAAAGCAATTTTTAGTAACAGTAATATTTAAAAAAAAATCTTATATACCATGTTTCAGAGTCAAATAACAAAACTAACTGCCACTGAACTCGTAACGCGATAGTGCTGTGCCGCAAATAAACCACAATACAAGTCTAGCCAACTTGTCACACGTCGGACCAACCATTATAATATCAGGTTTCCCCAGCTTGCTTCGAGAATAGGGATGGGGTCGCGAACTTGGGACAATGTGATACACGTAACACCCCTTCTGCGTAAGTGTCGATAGGTATGTGTATCTAAGTAAAGATACACAAACAAAAACATGAGATAATGGTAACTAAATATCTTAATGTATCATAAAAATACTTATTTGCTCTACACCCGGCAATTTTCTCATAAAATTACAGATTTACTATTTTATTAGGCTCCTTTGTTGTCGTTTCAGCGAAATGCTAAGGATTTTCACAACGACCTACTAGGCTCTATACTCCTTTTAAAGACTTGGAAATAACGTAATATTTTTATTTTAAAACACCAGCCTGGCGAATTTCGTACCAGCTATGTTCATCAGAAAATTTTCAAATCGGTCCAGTAGTTTCGGAGCTTTTCAATACGAACAAACAATCAAATTTTTCCTCTTTATTATATTAGTCTACATTTAATTTATCGTTTTTATGACAGCACTATTACCTACTCGTCATAATAAAGGACGTCTGTGCTGTTTCCACCGCAATATAATGTTGTGTGTCTACCCGCGAGTCTTCGTAATGTAATGGCAAATGCAATTTGCCCCCACAATCGCGGTTTAATTAAGAATAACGCGGCAAAAAGATATTTTTTCTTTGGGAATGCTGATTAAATTGTCCTCCTGTTCATAATGGAAATACATACAGAAATGACGTAGGCATCAGTTGCTGCGTGTAAGTATAATAACATTAAGGCTGAGTTGTACCATCTCCATCTCAAATCTGTCAAACTCCATACAAAAAGCACTGGTTAATGTTACGGTTAAAATAAGGTGGTGCTGGTAAGCCTAAGTTTAAAACTAGTTTCATTTACTATTTTAGTGTGTTGACAATATCAAAATTTATGGTGATCATTAGCAGACGATAATATGCACGCACTTTTGCTCCTGTTTTGTATAAAAAATTAAGAAAAAAAAACTTACGAATTCTGTACACATCAGAAATCGTAAAAAAATATGGAAAACACCGTAGACAACAGTGATTGACTTCGAGGGATACACGACGTACCTTTTTTCAGTGATTAGATGATCCTCTAAACTTCCGTCAATACATATTTAATGGTTTACAAATAGAAATAATGTTTCACATTTGTCTCTTTTTCAACTTTGACTGTACAACCTAGCCTTAGAAACTTTAAAGGCCAATGTGTAACCCACTTAATTTTAAGCTGCATGTGTCAAACAAGGCTGTTTCTTTAATAAAGATAAATAAAAAATAAATAAAAAGAGGTATTGCTGAATCCGTCTCCACTGTTGACACAGCAGTGGGCCCAACGTTATGGATGTGGAGAAAAAGTCATGGTAATGCTTTTGTTTTTGACAGTAAATTTTCGGGAGAAAAAAACTTGAGATATTCTACCGAAGTTGAAATAAACAGCTGAAAGAACAATGAAGCTATTAAATGTGTGCGTATTATGCGAGAAATTAAAAAATATGCTTTTTTTGTTTTAAAATTACGAACTTCTAGACTTTGCGAGAAAAATTCTAGATTGTATATTTAAAAGGTAGTACCTACTTATTAGTTAAAGCAAAACTTCTCCGAAACAACTTGACCGATACGTATGATGTGTGTATTCAGTAGGTCTGAGATAGAATGTAAACTATTTTTCATACCCCTAGGCGCAAAATTTTTGTTGGCTCAGCTAGTTATCATAATTTTCTTTGTCCACAGCACAATGGATCCCGACCTGATGGATGAGATGGTGCTGGAGACGACTCCTCGGACGTCGTACCTAACCACGGTGTTTTCGTCCGAAGGCACCCACACCCTCGCCAAGAACACCACCAACTCTACCATTGGGGTCAACAATGTGAACATGTATTTCTTTTATGATGTAAGTACATAGTAGCTGCTACCAATCCGTCGATCTGGAACTCATTGGGGAGGCCTATGTTCAGCAGTGAACGTCCTGTGGCTGAAATAATGATGATGACAAAGTGTAAGTATAACCGCCTCTGTGGTCTAGTGGTAGGTAAGACCACCTGCTTCAGACGCAGTGGTCCCGGGTTCGATTCTCAGTGGGGGCAGATTTTTCTGTTCGGTCCGTCCGCCTGACTAGCTATCACCATCTTACCTAGGTAAGTCTGTCGCCTTAGCAACAATGTTAACAGCATTATTGTGTTCCGGCAGTTAGAGTTACGATAGCCAGTTCCTCCGTGGTTGAGGATTCCGGGTGAAGCTCGCTTCTACCTTCGGCCTGATCGTCACTTACCATCAGGTGAGATACAGGTCATGAGCTTCCTCATTGTGGATAAAAAAAGGATAATTTTCATAAGTTTTAAATTGTTCACATCATCTACATACAAGCTCATTCTTAGACTGCAGGATAGTTAAATATTTTATGCCTATACTTGTATACGCTTTTGTAGACATTTTATAAGAATGATATTATGTCTTTATTAGGATAACCCATTATTTTTCGGAAGTGGCAAATGGAGAAAAACGGGCATTCATAGATGAAGGAGTAAATAAAATTTAATAAAAGGCTTCAAACTAAACTTTTTACTGATTCTGTGCAATTCCTATACCTATTGATGTTGCAAAATAGGTTGCAATATTTCACAGAATCTCAAAGCCAAGTTTTGAAAATCCAGACAGCATTACTTCCAGTTTTAAATTAACTTTGGAAAATAGAACTTTGTTTTATTTAAATAAACATAATTTTCATTGTGGTAACTATCAAAGGTAAAATGCAATTTAGTAACACTATTTACAGGTAATCCTCTGAATGCTGGGAAAATTATAAAGTTCAAAGCACTTTCTACATATTTGATCTCTCATTCAGACAGTATAAGAGATTAAAAGATTATGCACTTGATAGTCAGACAGAATATTCAAATTAATGCTGATTAATATTGTGGTCGCAGTTTTTTTTTATCCTAAACGAGGAAGTGGGACGTCCACCTACAAGGTGGACCGACGACATCGTAAAGGTAGCAGGGAAGCGCTGGATGCAGGCCGCTACCAATCGATCAACGTGGAAAGCATTAGGGGAGGCCTATGTTCAGCAGTGGACGTCCTATGGCTGAAATGATGATGATGATGATGAAACGAGGAAGCTTTTGACTTGCTTAGTACCTCATGGAAAGAGATGATCAGGCCGAAGGTAAAAATTAAATGCATTAACTTCTCATAACGGGACAAGGGTTGTGATCAATTCAAACACTAATTGTACCGACGACAGCCCGATGGCATCCAAAGTAGTTGCTATAGAGACAAGTTTTGCGACAAAAAGACACCATTTATTTGATGAGTTGTCGTAATAATGTAAAAACGGAGTACACTAATATACAATAGAAGCTTACTAACGCAATCCAATTACGGTTACAATATTTTGCCATCATTTCCATTTTTTCATAGACAAGAGCTTAATTAATGTAGCAAGCAGGTCACGTCCCACGCATGATACACATACGTCACTTATCAGGTACAATGGTACTACTCACTAGACAACGTTTTAGTGCTATCGAGTAATCAATTTAGATTATCAGCTATTCAATAAAAGCGTCAACGAACTATTATCATACTGATTTAACGAAAAAAGGGTTACACTAAGGACCTACTAGAGAATTGCGCTAAACTCGTAATACATTATCACGTGTCCATATCTGTCACCTCGTACATTTAACAACCAAAATTAAACAATAAAATCATTAGTAGTAACCTTCGATGAACAATAGCAATGGTATGATTGAAGCAACTAATCTAAATAATAGGCTAGTTTCCTAAAAAAATGTTTTTAGTCTGTCAATTTTAATATAAAAAATATTGGACACGTTTTGAATTGTCAATCAAACAAATAATTACAAAGTTATAGTGCGTTGAAGAGCTGCGCGACGTCACAAAGTGCTGCTCTTTTACGCACTCACTGACGTCACGGGCCTTTCCTTTAGAACTTTGGCACGCTTTATCTCTTTACATTTTCATTAGTTTTAAAAAGTGAAAAATACGTGTCGAGTAGTTCTTGATAGGCTAACTGACGGACTAATTAAAACTCTTGCTTTTTTACCCAGGAAACATCCCTATTCTCGAATATCTCTATGTTTTACTTGGTTAGCTAGCATCTAATCTGTTAATCATCTAATAGATTTTGAGCGTGAGAAGAATGACTAATTTCTAATAGGCAAACGCGTTGATGTTTTAAAAAAGATAATCCTGAAAACATTGTTTCACATAGTGATTTTTAAGTTTTAATCCTCAGTTTTGTAAGTGTAAATAACACAACCCTATATAAAATGACAGTACCTACCTACCTAATCAACGTTTACTTATTGAGCATTTTAACAAAGTAATATTTAACTTTTCACACATGAAAAACCGGTCGATCGTCATCCTAATCCAAATAAATGAGCCAAATATGATAAACGCGAAGCACTTTATGTCGCGGCTTCATATTGGATTACCTATTGGATCCAATCCTGGCTCCAAGATTGGCTTGTGTCGATTTGCACTCGTTTTGCCGTAACAAGAGTGCTGTTAGTCGAAACATCTTTGAATGATATTCACAGCTTTGTAATGTAAATTAATTGAAATAAAAATCATGCCACTACATCACATGGATAGCTTTAGAAAGTAATGCTGAGGAAAAGAGTTTACATAAGTGTTTACACGACGTGTTTTTATTTCTTATCCAACTCTGAACTATTATTACTCGATTGGTACTTGATTTATGGTTGGCTCCAACCCAACGCATTACTTTGGTCCAAATCTGGCCAATATGTCCATTATCATACTTCGCGAGGTGGGCAAATCCAGTCGCGCCCACAACATTTGGATTACAGCTGTAATAAAAGCTGAAAGCCTGCCTAATCTTGTAATGGATATTTTGCTGTACGGTATCAGTCTGATAATGATATCAATCGAACACGGTATTTGTGTGTGACATAGCGGTTTGGACTAATTGGATTCAAGGGTGAAACTATTTTCAGGTAACACGTAGATAGTTGCCAACTGGTAAAATGATAAAGGGTGATAAAGTACAGGGACATACAGAAGGCGGTATACCTACACAGTTAATAAAGTTAATATTAGTTCTTGAGTAGAGATCGCGACTCAGTAAGCGTAGTTAGCATAGTGTAGGACGCTCGGCCTTGTAGTTAGGTAGAGTAAAAAATTACTTAAGAAAGGTTTCAAGCAGAAGTAGCAGAAGATAGGGTAAAATGACGAATTTAAGAAGGCTAAGAGTATCATCTAAAAATATTTGGAGTTGCATGTAAACAATCACAAGAAGAACCAAATTGTTAATTTTTAGAATCGATTTGTTGATATCGAAACAGTGGGCTAATTCAAATGCATTTGTCGAGAGTAGAAATCGTCTGTCAAATAATTTTCTAGTAATCAATTTTGAACTGATTGTCAAGGTAATACAGTTGAAAATTGAATAACAAAGCCAGACTACGCCTAATGTCAGATCAGCCGATGGTAGATGCCAAATTTCCATATCGCGTACGAAGACGGAGAACTTTGTCAATATAGTGGTACATAAGGGTCATAATTAGTGGATGCCGACGATTTTCGCGCTGTCATCTCAACGACTGCCCACCCTTGTCGTTAGAGCAGTCGACTGGATAGAAAGCATGGAATTAACATGGTGATTGATAAACTAGGTGCAAATAAGCATAGGTATTTTATAACCACAGAATGCTTTTTGCTTAAATTTGAAAATAAAGGATATTGTTCTGCGTCCATACATCGTTCGCCCCAAGACCCCCAAGCAATGAAATAATGATTTTTATATGTGAAATTACTTAACGATTGTCACCTTATACCTGATGTGAACGTGTTCTAGGCTCTAGTGTTCTACTGCAAAGCACACATTTTCTGCTAAGATTTGAAGTAGATGCATTTGTGTTGTATCTTGGGCTTGGGTCCAACATGTTGTGCATATAAGATCATGAGCTGTAACCTGTAAAAATAAATAGATTCATTGCATGCCATGCCACACATACTCCTGTGCGTTGAATAAATTGAGCCGCAAACCATAAAAAAAATGATAATTCAATATTATGTGCTGTTAGTAGAATTTTGGGTCAGAGGGTGGGGTTAAACAGCTTTAGTAAATAAGCATTGTTGTTATAACAAAACAAAATAAGCTTTCATTGAGAGCAGGGAGATAGTGTCAAAGTAAATAATTCCTTAGATTTACACCAAAACCAGCTGGATTGTCAACATAATTGTTGTTTCGCTCATGCCTCAATTGCGCTGTACCATCGACTAGTTTCTTACAATCGAATCGGGCCTGGCTGTCCACACTGTCCAGGGTGAACCACAGATAATAGCGGAACATTCATTTCAAGACAACCCGCCATGAGAACGGCAATTCAGAAGTTTGGCAAGGCTAGTACTTATTCATAAGATTGCAGAGCAAAATGTAGGTACTTACCGATCGAGGTGCTGCCCATTGTTGTGTATAATTAAGTTGCTCATTTTCTAACACCATAGAACCACCAGCCGAGCCTTGGCCGAGCCACACAAAAACAGTAAATCCCAGGCTGAGTATGTCGTTATTGCAATCAATCAGAGTCCGTTTGAATAGCCAAGTTTGTAGTTAATAAAGTTCCGAATCTAATCGATCATACCATTATTTACTTAAATCGAATTAAAAAAGCGCATCTCTCTCTCTCTCTGCTCTGTCAATATGTCGGCAGTCGGTGACTTTGATTTCGTTTAAATACTTTTAAAATATTTTTTCGAACTGCAACTTGTCCGATAGGTTTGGACACTTGCAAGTAAATAAATAAAATATACATAAAATTATGGTACATACTAAGTCTTTGAAAATCTTAGGGCGATTTTTATCAATGTCCTTTGTCTGCTCGATTGCATTGATGGTAAGGAGCAATCAATGATATTATACAGGGTGTCCCAAAAACAATGGATAACCCTGTAACCATCGATAGGCCTCGCCATGGTCTCCCTAACGTCCAATTTTGACCCCAGTAAAAATATCACTGTTTTCAAGATTTTTAAGTTTTTGTGTATTTTTAGAAAATTGCCACCTGCGATTACTTTTTCTCATGCCATTTCTACAAATGAGGATACTTTTCAATCTAGTTTTTTTCCTTATCACAAGGGATAGTTGGGCTATCAAAAGAAAAGATCAAAGTTCAACAAACTAGTTTAAAAGTATGAAAATTTTAAGAAATTGCAGAGAAGAAGGAAAAATTAATTCATTGTCTTGCACTTTTGATCAGCCATCGTGTAAAAAAAATGTAGGAAGACCATCGTGCCCATTACCTTAAAAACTTCCTTGGTTAATTGAAATTCTGAAAAGGTATCACAAGCTTATGTATTCTGTATTATTTTTATCTTATGGCTACTTGAATAGCAACTAGTATGAAAACTGCAAAAATGAGTTTTTCTCGTAATAGTTAAACTAGGACTGCATAGTGGCATTAAATACAAATGGATAATTTTTAGCATAGGAATTTTAATAAAGCAACATGTTATCATCATCATCATCATCATCATTTCAGCCATAGGACGTCCACTGCTGAACATAGGCCTGTACCCCAATGATTTTCATAATGACCGCTTGGTAGCGGCCTGCTTCCAGCACCTTCTTGCTTACCTTTATGAGGTCGTCGGTCCACTTTGTAGGTGGACGTCCTACGATGCGCTTTCCGGTATGTAGCCTCCACTTGAACCCTGTTGCCCCATTGGCCGTCCGTTCTGCGTTTTTGTGATTACTTATTTTTTGTTTTACACCTTATAAATGTGCCTATAAACAGATGCCCGTGATGATACACAGCTCGGAAACCTGGATTTTTTGCACAGCGTGCTATGGAAGGGGCTATGCTCGGGTTTCTTTACGAAACCGTATCAGAAATTAGGAGACCTGTAAACGAACTAAAGTCGCTGACATAGCCCGACGGATCAGCAAGCTGAAGTGGCAAAGGGCAAGGCACAGTAGTTCGCAGAACTGTGGCAGCAGGGTTCAAGTGGAGGCTACGTACCGGAGAGCGCATCATAGGACGTCCACCTACAAAGTGAACCGACGACCTCATAAAGATAAGCAGGAAGGTGCTGTATACAGGCCGCTACCAAGCGGTCATTATGAAAATCATTGGGGTACAGGCCTATGTTCAGCAGTCGACGTCCTACGGCTGAAATGATGATGATGATGAGATGATGATGATGATAAAATGTTGCTTTATTTAAATTCCTATGCTAAAAATTATCCATTTTTATTTAATGTCACTATGCAGTCCTAGTTTAACTATTACGAGAAAAACTCATTTTTGCAGTTTTCATACTAGTTTCTATTCAAGTAGCCATAAGATAAAAATAATACAGAATACATAGGCTTGTGATACCTTTTTAGAATCTCAATTAACCAAGGAAGTTTTTAAGGTAATGGGCACGATGGTCTCCCTACTTTTTTTTTACACGATGGCTGATCAAAAGTGCAAGACAATGAATTAATGTTTCCTTCTCTTCTGCAATTTCTTAAAATTTTCATACTTTTAAACTAGTTTGTTGAACTTTGATCTTTTCTTTTGATAGCCCAACTATCCCTTGTGATAAGGGAAAAAACTAGATTGAAAAGTATCCTCATTTGTAGAAATGGCATGAGAAAAAGTAATCGCAGGTGGCAATTTTCTAAAAATGCACAAAAACTTAAAAATCTTGAAAACGGTGATATTTTTACTGGGGTCAAAAACGGACGTTAGGGAGATCATGGCGAGGCCTATCGATGGTTACAGGGTTATCCATTGTTTTTGGGACACCCTGTATAAAAACAAAAAATATCATTGGGAGCAATGGTATAAATGGTATTATCTAAATATCATTGGTAAGGAGGGACTGTTCTAAATACATATTATGATAGTTGAGATGGTTGAGATGTATTTCCGGGTCGATCGCTTCCACCTTCGGCCTAGATAGTACCTACCTACCTACCTAAACGCCAAACTATCTTATGATTGTTATGCATCGTTAAGTAGGGTCGGTTATTTTTATTTATNCAGGATAATATAAATTAGCGTCCGAAAACACTTTCAAAGTCAAAAAGTTGTTACTATAATGTCCGCACATTTAGGGTACTTAGGTAGGATTTGTTTACGTTTGACAGCTAATTTAAATATTCTATTAAAAGTATCACCTGCAGAGTGAATACCAAGAATTTGGTTATTTTTATCAAAAGTGATTTAATTTTGCCTCGTTATCCTTGATCAATTAATCCCCCGGCCCTCATTGAAAATCTTCCTTGATGTTACAATTTTATTTAAACTACTTATTGGAAAACCATCTTTCTAAATTTAATGTCTCGTAGTTCATAAGTTATTATGAAAGCAAATTAGTATCAAAATGTATTTAAATATTTTTATATCACCTACAAAGAACTTTGCTGAGCTTTTTGTTGATAGGGTTTTTATTGCAGCCTCGAATTAAAAGTAAAGTTTTCAAACAAAGCAATTCATAAAAAAAAAACAGATTAAGCTACAGTATCTATACTCGCTACAGCCTTTGTGGAAATCGTTAGGGGAGGCCTATGTTCAACAGTGGACGTCCTATGACTAAAATGATGATGATGATGATCCACTGTCGCTGAAAGTGGCACATGAGAGAAGCCTGAAATAGGTTTCATTGGATATCTATAGAGTTAACAACTGGGGCTAAAAGTAGCAATTATAAGTATAGATCGTTTCATCCACTAAGACGCGCCCCACCATTCCTCTGCGAATGTTTGAGTATTATCGCTAAATTATCAATGAGTGCACATGCACACTACAATAATGACGCTCGGATTGCTCGGATCAAACTCCCCGCACCCCGCGCTTCTCTCGTACAAAAATTGGTAGGGCGCGTCTTCGTGGATGAAACGATCTAAAGCCTGGTCCGTGAGCACGTAGAATCCCGTCCAATGACCCCAAGCTACCCATCCTTATCGCTCGCGTGTAATTATATTGCTGTCGCGACTGTGCGACGCGCGCCCGCAGTGAGTGTGCGAGCGCGACAGGAACATAATTACGTGCGAGCGACAGGGATGGGCAGCTTGGGGTCGTTGGACGGGATTCTACGTGCTCACGGACCAGGCTTTATATGGGTAAATGACTCTCCTATTGCATTTTCAGCAGTTTTATTTGAATTTTTTGGTTCCAGACAATCCAGTTTACTGTGATGTGGGTGCTGTTCGTCGCCATCGTGGTGCTAAACGCGTCCGTCATCGCAGCTCTGCTGTGCACCAACGCCAGGAAAAGCAGGATGAACTTCTTCATAATGCAGTTGGCTATTGCAGGTCAGTATTTAGTTGAGGTGAGGGAACGTAACAAGTTTGCGTCAAAGTGTATTTAGTAGCAGCAACTTTTTTATTTTGACAAGGCAGGAATTAATTAGGTAATGATGGCACCTGATATTAAGTGTAGTTAATATAGGGTGATAATCTAATACCTGCTCAGTAATTGCCTATTTACTCTAAGGCCCAGGTCATATTCGTAAAGATGTTAAGCGAATTTTACTTTACTTCTTCCGTTTCTGTTATAGATAACGACAAATTACAACACTGTTCAAACTCATCAATTTTCGTGTTTAAAAATCAATTTAAAAGTCACGTTTCACGTTTACTTATTTACTCACAGCTCGGCAGTCTTGAAAGCGCAACGTCATGGAAGGATGCACTTTTCCTTCATACGATATTACTTTACGTACGCGTACGCCGATACAATAGAAAATCAATTTCCGGTTACCGGTCGCCGGTGGCTCAGAGATCATAGAGGCTTTTTGACACCTTTTAAGGGTATTAGGGATCATTCTTCTTCAACGGTGTTTATTGTTACGCAGTTTTAAAGCAGTCTGCTGAGGAAAAACCACAAAGTTTATGGTAGAATTTTGATTGGTGCTTTTGGCTACTTTGATTCTTAAAGCCAAACCACTCAGCACCGAGTTAACTCAATAATACAACAATCGATGTTGTAAAATTGGACTGCGTAAAGATACCTACAAAAGACGCCACTATCAACCAAATTACAGATTACAGAGCTGTTTACGACCTGTTTAGCTTCAAACAACATCACAGTCCATCGCTGCCGTCAAAATTAGAACAATGACATGAAATTCCTCTTATTTTATCCGTCAAAGACCTTGTGAACCCAAACTCCTTTAGAAATGGCCGAATGAATGGCATTAAACGACATAGATACATCCATTGTTGTCAGGTCGTTAACCAACTTGAGTGGTTAAGTAAACTTATCTAAATAATGACCCACTTGCTGAAGAAAATTGCTGCGAAATGGGTCAGATGTCGTAGGTAATAAAGACCAGGCAGCTAATTTATTTTGCATCTAGGAAAGGAATTACGGTTGAATTGACACTGCGATAAAAACGAATGAGTAGGAAGGACATCAATTACTTTTACCATTTACTCTATTATGTCAGTAGGTAATGTTGGTCTGTTATAACTCAAAATAAATATGACTATGGTACTTCGGAAGAGATCGCTTAAAATCCTAGAATTATAAAAGACCGTGTAAATTGTGCTTTTCCAAGTTTTGTATTCGCAATGAATCATAAATTTAAGTGGTCATCTATACTTATAATAAATCTGTAGAGAGGTCAATTCTGTACATGAAATATATTTTCAAAATAACTATCAGGGGGTGATTAGTGATCGATACTGATGCCAAAAATGCAATCAGTAAAATTTTTGTCTGTCTGTCTGTCTGTCTGTCTGTCTGTATGTTCCTTATAGAAACAAAAACTACTTGACGGATTTTAACGAAACTTGGTACAATTATTCTTCGTACTCCTGGGCAGGTTATAGGATACTTAGGAATTCCCACGGGCACGGGAATTAGCGGGAAAATCCTTTTTTATGAAAAATCTAAACTGCTTAAGTTAGACGCTTGAAATTTGGCATGCAGATACCTTAGTTAACTTAAAGCTTAGTTACAACAGGATATTGCAAAATTCCCACGGGAACGGGAGTTAGCGGGAAAAAACATTTGTATGAAAAATCTAAACCGCTTACTTAAGTTAGACGCTTGAAATTTGGCATGCAGGTACCTTAGTAAACTCAAAGCTTAGTTACAACAGGATATTGCAAAATTCCCACGGGAACGGGAGTTAGCGGGAAAAAACATTTGTATGAAAAAATCTAAACCGCGTAAGATAGATGAAGGGGGTAAAACGGGATCCACGCGTACGAAGTCGCGGGCGGCCGCTAGTTATAGAGTATAAATCTACATAAATTTCAGTTAGTTAGAGTCATGAGATGGGATTTAACACTAAAGCCAATGCAAATCTCAGATTTTTTTCTGCTACGTGCGTGCGTGTACCTAACTGTGACAGTGCACTAATTGTAACTCTAGTGGTTTGCTCGTTAGGTGTTGCTTCATGTTAGAAAGTATGACTTTAATGTGGCAACGGCTATGTTCTAAATAGGAATAATAAGCTAATTTCAAAAGATAAGTGTCAGAATTTTTTTGCAATTATCATTGTAGCTAAGTTTTATGTTATTGTGAAACAAAAGACAAAGTATAAATAGGAAGTAAAAAAGGTACGTGTATCTTTAATTAACTATGCGCATTTTAACCTTTAAAGTCCCAGACGGCATACATTAATGCCATAACAATTGATTATCTATTGTGTCTAGATTCGCGGGCCTTGAAGGATTAAACGTAGCTCATAAAAGGTTGCTGCAGTCTAACTTTTTTGGCAGTCTCTCACACACACACTTTATCAAAAACAATTAAAAAGCAATACTTACTTAGAAAGTTATTTCTAGTTTGTTTAAAAAGCATAATGTGAGAAAACAATGGAATATTTTTACGTGAACAATAAAAGTAACTTAACGACCACTTATTGACCGCTAGGAAACTGCTATAGGTATTAGCTATTACTAATATCTAATTATAATTCCTTCAAGAAATTAAAATGGAAACAATTTTCCCTATAATACCCTTATAATCTCATCCGATTAAATCGTTATCGACGTGTTATCCCGGGTCTAAAAAACAGCCGATAAATAACATAGTAAGCTTAATCCTTTTGAATCTGATCTTACCCTTGTTTTCAAGTTTCAAGAGGCTTAACTCGACCTAGCGTGCCGGCATCTCAAATTTATGTTCGAACCATGGCGATCTGACATGGTATTTTGTTCCAATGTTTTTGCCAAGTGGTCCGAGTAGCTGGAACAGTGGAGAGATAAAAAGAAAGAGAGTTTTTTTTGTTTGAACGTGCTAATGTCACTAACTACTGATATAAATAACTATTTTTGTATTGGATAGCCTATTTAACAAGGAAGACACCTCGCTACAACCATAAAAATAGGAGCAAAATGTCAATGAGAAATGTTGGGAAAACTGAAAAAATATTGAAAAACTTTAATAGTACCAAAGTACACAATATCGTTGTAGTTCACATCTAAATACAAATTCAAATTGTTTATTGTTTTCCACGGTGTGTTTTGTTTTCAATTTTACAAAGAATATAAATAATCGATAAAACGCGTAAACAAAGATAAAAGGTTTATCAAAAGAATCGAACGTTTAGATAAAAATATGTTTCGAACAACACTCAAAATCGCTATTCATGTAACAGTTTCCGCATAATATCAATCTATTTTTGTGTTCCGAAAAATTCCACCATTGCTGCTTCGTAACATAGTTATGAGAACATTGATGTACAGAATCCTAACGCCGAGGTGGTGTGCTGTTCAAAAAAATATTTCTCAACGATATACTTCCTTATACCTTGGAGTTAAGGTGTAGTTGTTAGTTTTTCGTGTTTCTGGGTTATGCCTTGTTGGGGAGTAAATAGAGGGAGATTTATTTGATTACCTCGGTGCGTAAACGCCGTATTACAATCGTATAAATCGTGCTCTGGTTCCGAATAACAACTGACGATGGATCTGATGAACTGCTGATGCTTTAAGCACACGGATGATTTTGCCCGCTGTTATTTTCGCAGGGTCAAGTGTTATTTTGAAGAGGAGTTTGATACAGATTAATTTAGCCTATGCGCAGACCACCGACTTTTAGTTGGCCGATAGTTGGGCCCGATTCTTTGTATGAAGAATCGGCCGATATCAAATTGGTGTAATATGCGCACTTTCATATTTTAAGTCCAATGTCCAAACAGATTAAGAGCCTGACCCAATTATTGGCAACTAAAACACAAAATGATCACTATTAGTTAGAAAAGTCCTTACCAAATAACTTACATTTTATAAGAATAGAAAGATGGTTTTCATGTACCTATTCTTCAAAAAGTACCTACCTAAATTACATTTTAAATTACTATTGTTTCAGATTTGTTCGTCGGTCTCATTTACGTGTTCGTGGACATAGTACAGAAGATAACTATAGCGTGGCTGGCCGGAGAGTTCATGTGTAAATTCGTCAGATTTCTTCAGGTAAGAGATTATCATGGCTACTACTACTGACTACTCCTACGCTTTAATTTTCATGAAGTAGAATACATAATATCACGTAAAATGCGTAAATAAATAGCTAATATTAGTTGCAAAGAAACACAAAGAAAATATTTTCTTTCTTTCTTTGCAGCATATATTTTTCCTTTATCTTTTTACTAAAAATTTATTTGGACGATAGATACTAAGATGATTTGAATAAAAAGTATATGCAGAGTATGTTGCTATGAATGTATTTTTTTATTCACGAGGTAATTTAGAGCCATTAAACCACTAAAGATAATGAAATTCAAAATGTACCAAGATCAATGAAAAAAGCTGTTAAGTTTACAAAATGGTTGCTAAGTCCGTTATAAAGGCTACAGCAATAGTACCTAAGAATTAATTTGTTTGTAACAGAGTGGAATAAAGCGTCTACTAGATAGTACTCAATTAGATTTTAGTTCTCACTTTATTCCCTTTTGGTTGAAGACAAAATTGACTGACATTTAAACGCTTGAATTACTTAGTTTTTGATAGGATTATCAGATTTTACAATGTTATTCATTAAAGTTACAATAGAATTTACTCTTGAATGAGATGTTTTCAATTTGTTTTCAAATACTGTCTAGCCTAGTAGTCTGTTTTAGTCGTAGTAACAAATAAATTAAAGGTAAGTATTTTTTGTATTACAATTTCGCTGTCCAAAAACGCAGGGTTCGTTTATGTTCGTAAGGTAAAAACTGTGGGATCTTAATAAGTTACAATAGACGGTATTTTGCAATAAAAACACATCTTCTTATTTACATTTTATTGCCTTACATAAAACAACCAAACTATTATTTTCTTCTAATTAGTTTTCCTTAATTTTGGAGAATCACGATGGAGTAGCCATCGTAACTTAGAAGGAATTTTTGAATTTCATTAACTAGTTTTGTAACTTAAAAGCTTCCCTGACTTAAACTTCATGTAAATTGCTTAACTTTCTTTGACGTAAATATTTTGCTACTTATTTTGTTTTGCTTATAATAAGATGGACATTATAAGGCCTTATTACAAAAAGTTAAATACACTTTATACATTGGAATGTCATTTCCATTCTAAATGACAATTTACAATTTAAACAAGACTCCAACGGGCTCCTAACTTTTTGTAATACGCCCCTATATTTTAGCTTTCACTTTTAATAAGATATGTACTTCTTATTCCAGGCTGTGGTGATGTATGCCTCCACATACGTCCTGGTAGCCCTGAGCATAGACAGATGCGATGCCATCACGAACCCCATGAATTTCTCCGGAAGCTGTAAGTGCTACATTAATAAATAAGTATCCACTACACCCTATATCTTTATAGACCCAGATGAGCACTTAACCTCATGTATAAGTCGTGCCCCCGAGTGGTCATCACTTCTAGTGACCTTTCCTTATATTTGTCACTAGCTTTCCGCCCGCGGCTTCACCCGCGTGGAATTTTGTCTGTCACAGAAAAACATTATAGCGTGCGTTCCTGTTTCAAAAACTGGGATAAAAACTATCCTATGTCCTTTTCCGGGACTCAAACTATCTCTATGCCAAATTTCATCAAAATTGGTTCAGTGGTGTAGGCGTGAAAGAGAGACAGACAGACAGACAGACAGACAGTGTTACTTTCGCATCTGGGGGCACGGCAGTGCCCCCGCCAAGTCGAGCGCGAAGCAAACACTGCCGTACCATCCTTTACTGGAACCATTTCGCCGCATTTTCAGGCCCCTATTTGAGAACCTCTGGATAAGACCAGAACGCAGAAATTTTTGTCATCTAGTAAGCTATAATCACATAATTAAAATCCAAAATTTCAAGTCTGTAGGTAATTTAGTTCTGAAGTTAAGCGAAAGCAAAGTTTCGCATTTATGACACTCACTCACTGATAATCATCAAAATAGAACTAGTACTTCCCATAAACTCAGAGAGCTGAAATTTGGTACAAAGTAAGGGTTTAATGGCCACATAAAGGGAAAACTATAAAAACTAGGAAAATCGAAGATCTGGAGTAACACCACATTCATAATCAATACTACTAGCGCCACACCGGCACCGTGGTGTTCGCCTGTACCGCTCACCGCTAGATGGCGCTAGCACTTTGAGCGTCGATTTTCTGCACCGCGGAGTCTAGATTCCAGATTCAGATCTGCACCCCCCCGTCGATTAAGTTGAATGTTGTATAATTTGAATTTGGTTGATTTCGTTTATTATATCGTGAGGTTCGCTAAGGTTAAGTTATTATTAAAACAATTCTGATTCGTTGTCCGTTTTGAAGGTCGCTATGTTTAATATCGTAAAAAAAAATTCGATAATATTAAAGGACGACTGATAATATTAAAGGACGACGACGTTAAATAATTATGCCACATTCTAAAGATTGTTCAACGGCCAAGTCACACAACATTAACTATAATAATAAAGAAATCGCAGTAAGGAACCATAGACTTGGCACGACTTTGTCTAGATTTCATTACTTTTTAGAGATAAACAAGCAGCTCCATCGAGACTTGGCTAGTTTTTTACAGAATGTTTTTGGTGGGATTTATAATTAGTATTGATTCTTCCCTACCAATAGAGCTATACTTTAAATGTTCGTAGTTGGCCAAAATAAGTAATTACTATTAGGCTGAGTTGCACCATCTAACTTTAACGGTAACTATGACGATGACCGGTGCTTTTTGTATGGAGTTTGACAGATTTTTGACGTTTGTTATAGTTAAAGTTAGATGGAGCAACCCAGCCTTAGACTGAGTTGCACCATCTAACTTTGACCGAAACTATAACGATAACCGGTGCTTTTTGTATGGATTTTGACAGATTTTTGACGTTGGTCAAAGTTAAAGTAAGATGGAGCAACCCAGCCTTAATCTTTCATTAGTGTCAAAATAGTTAACTATAGTCAAAGGTTTTGAGCTACCAGAATAACTTATTGTTTTACGTCTAGTCTTTAGTCTAGATCGTAGGCTGTTAATCAACTTTTGTATAATGGAAACGAATAGTTACAAACAATTTAACGATAAATATTCTGTCTCAACTGAAATTAGCATTTCCAGCGGTTGATTATTTTTTGATTATTTTATTCGTGGTTCGTTAAGCCGCCATTCCTATTTCTATCAGGGTAACGACTGCCGAAACAATATTTTTAATGGCTCAATCAAAAATGTGTAACGACCACTTAATCCTGGTTTTAATGAATTTTGATTAAACTGGGATCCAGGGAAAATGAAATGATTCTATTAAAAGCGCCCTATTTGTTAGCATTTTGGCATCGAGGATACATGTTTAATTACTCTTTAATTAACCGACTTTTAACGCTTATTTCGGAGTTTTAAAAATAGAACAGCAATTTGAAATGTTGTCTGTTTGCAGAGAAATATTTAAATTGGTTTTGAGCCTTATTTGTTAAAAAATCTGACATCATGGTTGCAATTATGTTTTTACAATTAATTTGAGATCCTTCTTTTGTCTCAATAAGTTAGGCGATTATCACACTGCGCCGCGCTCCGCCGCGGTACGCGGGACGACAGATTTAATCATTGTATTGCAAGTACCTCAGATTGTATAGAAAACACGCGCGGCACAACACACTGACAACGCGTCTGCGCGCGGGATTTTTTATATGAAATCACGCGGACCGCGGCGGAGCGCGGTGCAGTGTGATAATCGTCTTAGAGGTTAGTGGCCCTACTGTGACTACTAACTAAATGACCTGAAGATGATTGATGATTTTTTGTAACTGTTACAGGGAATCGTGCAAGAGGCCTAATTATATCAGCATGGTTAATAAGCATCGTGTTCTCCGTCCCAGTATTCATACTGTACGAACTTAAAGAGATGCAAGGTAATTATTTAATAGAATAAACGAAATAATAAATATTGATTATAAAACCCCACAAAGTAGACCGACGACCTCATAAAGGTAGCAGTAACGCGTTGAATGCAAGCCACTACCGACCGGTCAATATAGAAATCATTGGAAGAGGCCTATGTTCAACAGTGGACGTCCTATAGCTGAAATGGTGATGGATGATGAAGATGATTATAAAACATTGTAAAGCTTACTTAAGAGAATCTTCTCTTAGAATAATAACTCATAAGTGCCACTTGTGGTCTAAACTGAATAAATATTTTTGATTTTGATTATTTTTTTTTTATTTTGCATTCTTAGGTATGACAAATCAATAGTTTCTGAGTGTTCGTTCGTTCGTTCGTTTCAGCCAAATGACGTCCACTGCTTAACAAAGGCCTCCTCCAAGGTTTTCCACAATGCACGATCCTGCGCTGCCCGCATCCAGGTTCTTCCCGCGAACTTTACCAGATCGTCGGTCCACCTAGTAGGAGGCCTGCCCACGCTACGTCTTCCAGCCCGTGGTCGCCACTCCAGAACTTTTCTGCCCCAACGGCCATCGTCTCTACGAGCTATGTGCCCCGCCCACTGCCACTTGATTTTAGCAATTCTGCGAGCTATGTCGTAGTTTCTGAGTGTAAATGCAGTGAAAACTAATTTTTAATAAGTAGCGTGGCGTAAACATGTTCAAGCAAACCATGACCTTATATCTTTTCAAATAGATCCCATATCACATTCCAGGGCAACCGCAATGCTGGATAGAGCTAGGCACGCCTCGCAGATGGCAGATCTGGATGACGTTGGTATCGATCATGATCTTCGTTCTGCCAGCGCTGGCCATCGCAGCGTGTTACGCGGTCATAGTGCTGACAATATGGACGAAGAGCAAAGCTGTGGTTATGAGCCCGCCAATCAACTCTAGGAGGACCAAGACCTTAAGAAATGGTGAGCATAAAGCCAGTCCTCGTAATCAAAATTATGTTCAAGGCTCGGCAGGGCACTCCCTAACACTGCTTAGGTAGTTTAGCGGCGTGCTACGCGGTCATAGTGCTGACAATATGGACGAAGAGCAAAGCTGTAGTTATGAGCCCGCCAATCAACTCTAGGAGGACCAAACCCTTGAGAAATGGTAAGCATAAGATACTAAAGCCCGGTCCGTGAGCACGTAGAATTTTGTCTAATGACCCCTAGCTACCCATCCTTATCGCTCGCGCGTAATTATATTGCTGTCGCGACTGTGCGACGGGCGCCCGCAGTGAGTGTGCGAGCGCGATAGCAACATAATTACGCGCGAGCAATAAGGATGGGTAGCTTGGGGTCATTGGACAAAATTCTACGTGCTCACGGACCAGACAATAGTTAACAAATCCCGCCTTAATAGTTTAGGTTAGGTATTAGGTTCAACCGTGCTACGCGGTCATAGTCCTAACTAAATACAATGGACGAAAAGCAAAGCTGCCTAGCCTATTACCTCTAGGAGGACCAAATCCTTGAGAAATGGTAAGCGTAAGGAACTATCTGATGAATCAAGCCCTACCAGTCCAGGTTATGTATTAAAGATCAGTCATGCTACGTGGTCATAGTGCTGACAATATGGAAGAAGAGCAAAGCTGTTCGTCGTGAGCCCGCCTATCAACTCTAGGAGAACCAGACCTTGAGAAATGGTAAGCATAAGAAACTAGTTGACAAATCCAAGCCTACCAATTCAGGTTATGTATTATGGCTGAACCTCAGCCCTGCTACGTAGTTCATAGTCTTAACTACTTAAATGGACAAAGAGCAAAGCTGTCGTCATGAGCCCGTCTATCAACTGTAGGAGAACTAAGACTGAGAAATAATGAGAGTAAGTTATTACCTTTCTTATACCAGCCCTAGCTGGCAAGTTTCCTATCCTTCGAGGAAAAGAAAAGCTTATGAGCCTACTCAGGAACATTGAGCTCGCCCATCAACCCTAGGAGAACCAAAACTTTGAGAAATGGTGAGCATAAGTGATTATTATCAGATCTATCTGTCACATAGTTTGTGGGCATCTTGCTTTGTAAGAGTGATGGCATCATCAAGGTCTCATTAGTGGACGAAAAACAAAGTAACCTCGCCTTTCAATTTCGAGAAGAAGTGGTAAACAAATGACTACCTTCAATGTTTCTCGAGGTTTCCCACGTGTATCGTTTACTGTGTCAAGGCCAACTATCCAACAAGTGGCACATAATTAACACCACCAATTAACTACAGCCCTTCATCCTTCCAGGGCACGTGGAGAGCGACCCGGACTCCCGCCGCGCGAGCTCCAGGGGGCTCATCCCGAGAGCCAAGATAAAGAGCGTGAAGATGACCTTCGTTATTGTTTTTGGTAAGTTAAAAAGAAAAAAAGAAAAACATTTATTTGGTTTCAACTTAAAATATAACACACAGAATCAGATAACAAAAAACAAGTACAAGTTAGAACCAAAATTGGCCACCGCTCAGCATGTGTCATGCTCTGGAGTGGTAAATAAAACCCAGAACACGACGCTGTTATTCTGCGGTGACCATTTTTGGAGAGAGCTGGAAACAAACATGAGACAATACACAAAAAACAAACAAAGGAGAAAAACAAAATAAAAAATACAATATTAAAAGAAGAAAAAAAGTAAATAGATGATGCCCAACATTATCCGTCTCAGTCATGACTCATGACGCTGACAGGAGGTCGCCACCATGACGGATAGTTACAACCGTTATTCCTATTGATTAAAGGCTTCCACAGACCAAACGCGGGTCAGAAGCAGTGCGGGTCAGTTGCAGCGCGGCAGTAGGCACACGGAAATCAGCGGCAGTTTCAAAGCAGTGGCAACGCGGACGGTTGTCAAAAAATTCAATATTTGAAAACCGCTTTCAACGCGCTACTACCGCCCTGCGTCCGGTGTGTTATACTAAAGCCTGGTCCGTGAGCACGTAGAATTTTGTCCAATGACCCCAAGCTACCCACCCTTATCGCTCGCAAGTAATTATGTTATATGTATACCGGGGATTCATCCCGAGGGCTATGATAAAGAGGTCAAAATAACCTTTGTTATTGTTTTTGGTAAGTTCCAACCATTATTCTCGCTTTCTTAAGGTCTAAATTTAGTTTTCCAGGTATTGTTCCTATTGTTCTGTTTAAATGTGGCTTTTCAGAGCTATTTTGGTGCCGAGTATCAATAATAATTGTTATTAGGTGCTTGATTAATATGTAGTGGTTAGATTTGAAGCTTACATGGTGATTATTGTAATGTTAGATTTTGAGTCTCTTCATTTCTTTTGTAACGTTAGACACGATTAACTTTGCATGGCGACATTTAAGATGTTTTGGCTCTAAAAAATTGGAAAAGTTGCAAATCTTAGAAAGAGAATATCGAGTCCTTTAGAAGTTTTACAACGCACATAGAAAAGTAATTTCAGGGTTAAGTTTACATGATAACAACAGGAATATTTCCCACCTGTTCTTCCCACCGCTGCAATACCTGCATAACCAAGATCTACAGCTAACATGGTACAGTAGAATCTCGATTATCCGGACTCATTCTTCACAGTTTCTAATTACCGATTTACAGTCTGGACCCATAAAAATGGAAGGCGCCGCCACCGTAACACGGTATGGACTTCGTCTTAGTTCATTGTTAAAAGAAATTGATTTAGCCAATGGTCTAAAATTTAGATTTTTAGACTCTAATCTAAATGATGTCGGCCGTTTAGTGTAGTGGTTCAGAGCGGACTACTATGCCGACAGGTCCCGGGTTCGATTCCCGGCCGGGCAGAAATTGAAATTATGAATTTTAATTTCTGTGACGGGTCTGAGTGTTACTATGTATAATATGTATGTATTTAAAACAAAAATAAAAAAAAGTATATAAGTAGTATATCCGTTAAGCTAGCACCCATAACACAAGCATTAAGTTGCTTACTTTGGGGCTAGCTGGCGCTGTGTGAAATTGTCCAAAGATTTATTTATTTTTATTATTTATGTATTGAAAACCCTTTCTATCATAAAAAGTTAATTATTGTTTGATTTTACTTTGAAATCGATTATCCGGAACACCCCTGGTTTTAATTGATCCGGATAATCGGGATTCTACTGTATTATGGTATTTACTCAAGAGCTTACATGGTATCAATATACTTATTCAAGTGTTTCTCCGTTCCAGTATTCGTGCTCTGCTGGTCCCCGTACATCGTGTTCGACCTGCTCCAAGTGTACAACCACATCCCGCCGACTCAAAGCAACCTGGCCATCGCTACCCTCATCCAGAGCCTGGCGCCTCTCAACTCGGCAGCCAATCCGTTGATATGCTGCATGTTCTCCCCTCATATTTATACTAGCCTCAGGTAAATATCTGTTGTTCATTTCAGTGAAATAACGTCCACCGCTGAACATAAGCCTTCCCCAAGGATTTCTACGACGACCAGGTACTTCTCGCGACTTTCCCTAGATCGTCGGTCCATCTAGTGGTAGAGACCTACAACACTATGTCTTCTGGCCCATGGTTGCCACTCGAGAACTTTTCTGTCCAACGGCCATCAGCTCTACGAGCTATAAATGGCCTGCCCACTGCCACTTGAGTTTAGCAATTCTTCGAGCTACGGTCGGTCGGTCAAATAATTTATATTCACTTCAAATGCATGTATGGACAGAACAAAAGTATTGAAGACTATTTCCAACGACTGGTACCACGTTGCCCGTATCCAGCTTTGCTTCCCGCAACCTTTACTAGATCGCCGGTTACATTTATATGCTCGTATCCTATATTTATTTTACTATGATCATTCTTTGCTAATTGGTTTACTTTGTCACTGATCGTAATACTAATTGGTTTGTCCTCACGTTTCAGGCGAGTGCCACCTTACCGCTGGCTGTTCTGGGGCCGCACGCGCAAGCGTCACGGGCGCGGCACGCTGCGATCGCGATCCGACTCCACCGCGCACTCCGATCTGCTGAGTTCCACGCACGCGCGTCGCTCGCACTCGGTTGCCACGGTCAGTGCCTGTTTGTTAGCAAGACTTCAGATTTCTTTCAGATGTGTATGCTCTGTCACGTCACAGTATGTTAATACCACCCCTCCTACTTCTACTTTGCCTGGCCCATTCCCATTTTATTTGGGGTCGGCCCTCCTCGTCATGCGTCTCCAGGCGGCTCGGTCCTGGGTTGTCTTACTGTTAACTTGGGCTTCTTTAAGGTCGTTATTGATTACGGACATCCATTTAATTCGGGGTCTTCCTCGTCCGCGGGGCTTAGTTTGGATGTCTAGCACTTTTCTGGTCATATGGTCGGGTGGTCGCCTCATGACGTGCCCGTACCACCGCAGACGGCTCTCCTGCAATTTAGCTGGGATAGGTCTCACTTTAAAGGTGCCTCTTATGTGTGTGTTTCTCACATGGTCCAGCCTAGTTACACCACCTGCCCATCTGAGCATCTTCATCTGAGCGCAGTGCAATTGCTAATACCACCCCTCCTGTGTCGCTCCTATACCTCAGGCTATTGACTCAGTTCGCCGCTAGACCTATATCAAGTCAAGTCAAGACTGCAGCACTCCTGTAATGAAGGCATTTCAGTTCATCATAATAATATTACTAGTTACCTAGTGACGACGCCACAGCTAGTGGCACTGGCGGCGGCTTGATCAAAAGCAAAGCCACCAGCAAATACCCTCGCAAGAGCTCTGAATCGTTATTCGCAATCTGACATGAAAGGCGTGAACGTACTGTCCTCATGCTACTGGTCACCTCAGCGGCAGCATGGCCGCTGACTTTGTTGCGGTTAACGCTCAAAAAACTATATGGATCCACCACTATAAGCAGTTCATCCTATTTCTGAATCTACTTTGTCACAAACACGAACAGTTGGTATTCACCACTTACTACTATCTGTATCTCCTTTGGTTGCCAAGAGCATAGTACTCCTCGTCGATTTTTTCTAGTATGTTGTGTAACCTTCAGACTTAATTTTTTTTTTCTGAAAATTATACTTACCTGCCTTATCAAGTATAGACATTAGACATGTTGACACCACCAATCAATTGACGTACTTTTTAAAACTGTCAAAACGAAACTCTCCCATAGATTTTGTATGGCACTACAAGCAAGTGACGTCACTATTTTTCCAACTCAATTAAACTACTTTTTTCAATCACAATGCGAACAAAAATCGTAATTTACAGGTACTTAATTTAAAATTAATTAAGTTTTTAAGACCAGAGGTGGAATTGTGTAAAGCAATCGTTATCATTTGACAGTTCATAACGTACGATTATTCTGTCAAACGCTTTGTTTAAATGACTTTATCGTACGTTATGAACTGTCAAATGATTACGATTGCTTTACACAATTCCACCTCTGAATGAAGGGTCTTTTTAAAAAAGTTGTGGTTTTGAATGATTGAGGTATGGTGTCAAACTGTCTATTGTAAAAATAATGTTTTCTTTCCAGATTCTAAACCGCACCCGCAGCAACAGCGTGTCCCGCGAGGTGCGCCGCACGCAGCTCCTAGTGCTAGTTCCCGCGCGCGACTGACAGCGTGCTCCCGCGAGCGCGCGCGTCGCGTCCACCCACGACGTGATGCTCTAGCGCCGCCCGCCGGCCTGCAGCGGGAACCACTGCTGCAGGCACGCGCTGGAAGTGCGCTTCGAGGCAGGGACTATGAAGTAGATTACCATTAGTGTGTTTCTTGTGACATGCGTGAGGATAATAGTGCTGCCAGCAGGGAGGAATATTGCTGCAAGCACTTCTTAAAAGTGAGGTTCTAGGTGGAGACTATTATTGCTTAGTATGTTACCTACTAGTCACCGACGTGATGCTCTAGCGCCGCCTGCCGGCCTGCAGCGGGAACCACTGCTGCAGGCACTCGCTGGAAGTGCGCTTCGAGGCAGGGACTATGAAGTAGACAATCCTTAAGGCCAGTGTAAAGCAAGATAACTGAAGCAAGAATATTTCTTTTACTAGTGACGTATGTGATGCTCTAGTGTGACGTGTGACTGACAACGCCCGCCCGCGAGCTACTACTCATGACTAGATGCTCTAGTAACGCTTCCCGACCAGTAGCAGGAATCACTGCACACTGCAGGAACTCGCTGGAAGTGCGCTTCGAGACAGGGACTATGAAGTAGATTACCATTAGTGTGTTTCTTGTGACATGCGTGAGGCTATAGTGATGCCAGCAACACTTCTTAAAAGTGAGTTTCTAGGTGGGGACTAAGAAAGTGGCGTAATTATGTTGCTGTCGCGCTCGTACACTCACTGCGGGCGCCCGTCGCACAGTCGCGACAGCAATATAATTACGCGCGAGCGATAAGGATGGGTAGCTTGGGGTCATTGGACAAAATTCTACGTGCTCGAAGACCAGGCTTTAGTAGGGCATCAATATTATGCAACGACTGCTTGGTACAATACATATTGATGATGAGACTATCTCAAGCGCAGCTCCTAGTGCTAGTTCCCGCGCGCGACTGACAGCGTGCTCCCGCGAGCGCGCGCGTCGCGTCCACCCACGACGTGATGCTCTAGCGCCGCCCGCCGGCCTGCAGCGGGAACCACTGCTGCAGGCACTCGCTGGAAGTGCGCTTCGAGACAGGGACTATGAAGTAGACAAACGTTAAGGCCAGTGTAAAGCAAGTTTTTGTTAGTACAAAAACTTGCTTTACTAGTGTGACCTACGGGACAGGCTAGATTCAAGGAGTGACGTAGGTACGCCTACCTAGTGTTAGTTCCTGCGTGCGACTGACAACGTGCACCAGCGAATCAGCTGGGATTATAAAGTAGATTACCATCTGTGTTTTTTTTTTACATGCATGAGGCTATAGTGCCGCCAGCAGAGAGAACTATTGCTGCAGGCACTCCTTAAAATTGAGTTTTTAGGTGTGGACTAAGGTAGGGCATCAATATTATGCAACGACTGCTTGGTACAATACATAATATTGATAAATGAGACTATCTCAAGCGCAGCTCCTAGTGCTGGTTCCCGCGCGCGACTGACAGCGTGCTCCCGCGAGCGCGCGCGTCGCGTCCACCCACGACGTGATGCTCTAGCGCCGCCCGCCGGCCTGCAGCGGGAACCACTGCTGCAGGCACTCGCTGGAAGTGCGCTTCGAGGCAGGGACTATGAAGTAGATTACCATTAGTGTGTTTCTTGTGACATGCGTGAGGCTATAGTGATGCCAGCTGCACTTCTTAAAAGTGAGTTTCTAGGTTGGGACTAAGAAAGTGGCGTAATTATGTTGCTGTCGCGCTCGTACACTCACTGCGGGCGCCCGTCGCACAGTCGCGACAGCAATATAATTACGCGCGAGCGATAAGGATGGGTAGCTTGGGGTCATTGGACAAAATTCTACGTGCTCGAAGACCAGGCTTTAGTAGGGCACCAATATTATGCAACGACTGCTTGGTACAATACATATTGATAATGAGACTATCTCAATCGCAGCTCCTAGTGCTAGTTCCCGCGCGCGACTGACAGCGTGCTCCCGCGAGCGCGCGCGTCGCGTCCACCCACGACGTGATGCTCTAGCGCCGCCCGCCGGCCTGCAGCGGGAACCACTGCTGCAGGCACTCGCTGGAAGTGCGCTTCGAGGCAGGGACTATGAAGTAGATTACCATTAGTGTGTTTTTTGTGACATGTGTGAGGATATAGTGCTGCCAGCAGCACTTCTTAAAAGTGAGTTTCTAGGTTGGGACTAAAAAAGTGGCGTAATTATGTTGCTGTCGCACTCGTACACTCACTGCGGTGTGACAGCAATATAATTACGCGCGAGCGATAAGGATGGGTAGCTTGGGGTCATTGGACAAAATTCTACGTGCTCGCAGACCAGGCTTTAGTAGGGCATCAATAATAATATGCAACGACTGCTTGGTACAATACATATTGATGATGAGACTATCTCAAGCGCAGCTCCTAGTGCTAGTTCCCGCGCGCGACTGACAGCGTGCTCCCGCGAGCGCGCGCGTCGCGTCCACCCACGACGTGATGCTCTAGCGCCGCCCGCCGGCCTGCAGCGGGAACCACTGCTGCAGGCACGCGCTGGAAGTGCGCTTCGAGGCAGGGACTATGAAGTAGATGACTAAGGCAAGAGTATTTGTGTTTTTGGCGACGTGTGTGATGCTCTAGTGTGACTGACAACGCCCGCCCGCGAGCTACTACTCATGACGAGATGCTCTAGTAACGCTTCCCGACCTGCAGCGGGAACCACTGCTGCAGGCACTCGCTGGAAGTGCGCTTCGAGGCAGGGACTATGAAGTAGATGACTAAGGCAAGAGTATTTGTGTGCTTAGTGTGTTACTGGTGACGTATGAGGTGCTCTAGTGCGACTGACAACGCCCGCCCGCGAGCTATTATTCACGACGAGATGCTCTAGTAACGCTTCCCGGCCTGCAGCGGGAACCACTGCTGCAGGCACTCGCTGGAAGTGCGCTTCGAGACAGGGACTATGAAGTAGACAAACTTTAAGGCCAGTGTAAAGCAAGTTTTTGTTAGTACAAAAACTTGCTTTACTAGTGTGACTTACGGGACAGGCTAGATTCAAAGAGTGACGTAGGTACGCCTACCTAGTGTTAGTTCCTGCGTGCGACTGACAACGTGCACCCGCGAGACAGCTGGGATTATAAAGTAGATTACCATCAGTGTGTTTCTTGTGACATGCGTGAGGATATAGTGCTACCAGCCGGAAGAATGAATGCTGCAGGCACTCCTTAGAAGTGAGTTTCTAGGTGGGGACTAAGATGTAAATAAGGTACTTAGGGCATCAATATATGCAACGACTTATTGGTACAATACATATTGATAATGAGACTGTCTCAAGCGCAGCTCCTAGTGCTAGTTCCCGCGCGCGACTGACAGCGTGCTCCCGCGAGCGCGCGCGTCGCGTCCACCCACGACGTGATGCTCTAGCGCCGCCCGCCGGCCTGCAGCGGGAACCACTGCTGCAGGCACTCGCTGGAAGTACGCTTCGAGACAGGGACTATGAAGTAGACAATCGTAAAGGCCAGTGTAAAGCAAGATAACTGAGGCAAGAATATTTGTGTTACTAGTGACGTATGTGATGCTCTAGTGTGACTGACAACGCCCGCCCGCGAGATACTACTCACGACGAGATGCTCTAGTAACGCTTCGACCTGTAGCTGGAATAACTTCTGCAGGAACTCGCTGGAAGTGCGCTTCGACACAGGGACTATGAAGTAGATTACCACTAGTGAATTTTTTGTGACATGCGTGAGGCTATAGTGCTGCCAGCAGCACTTCTTAAAAGTGAGTTTCTAGGTTGGGACTAAGAAAGTGGCGTAATTATGTTGCTGTCGCGCTCGTACACTCACTGCGGGCGCCCGTCACACACTCGCGACAGCAATATAATTACGCGCGAGCGATAAGGATGGGTAGCTTGGGGTCATTGGACAAAATTGTACGTGCTCGCAGACCAGGCTTTAGTAGGGCATCAATATTATGCAACGACTGCTTGGTACAATACATATTGATAATGAGACTATCTCAAGCGCAGCTCCTAGTGCTAGTTCCCGCGCGCGACTGACAGCGTGCTCCCGCGAGCGCGCGCGTCGCGTCCACCCACGACGTGATGCTCTAGCGCCGCCCGCCGGCCTGCAGCGGGAACCACTGCTGCAGGCACTCGCTGGAAGTGCGCTTCGAGACAGGGACTATGAAGTAGATAACAGTTAAGGCCACAAATAAGTCTTTAGTGCATCAATATATTGTGTGTTACTAGTGACGTATGAGGTACTCTAGTGTGACTGACAACGCCCGCCCGCGAGCTATTATTCACGACGAGATGCACTTCCTGGCCTGCAGCGGGAACCACTGCTGCAGGCACTCGCTGGAAGTGCGCTTCGAGACAGGGACTATGAAGTAGATGACTAAAGCAAGAGCATTTGTGTTACTAGTGACGTATGAGGTGCTCTAGTGCGACTGACAGCGCTCGCCCGCGATCTACTACTCACGACGTGATGCTCTAGCGCCGCCTGCCAGCCTGCAGCGGGAACCACTGCTGCAGGCACTCGCTGGAAGTGCGCTTCGAGGCAGGGACTATGAAGTAGATGACTAAGGCAAGAGCATTTGTGTTATTGGTGACGTGTGTGATGCTCTAGTGCGACTGACAACGCCCGCCCGCGAGATACTACTCACGACGTGTTGCTTTAGCGCCGCCCGCCGGCCTGCAGCGGGAACCACTGCTGCAGGCACTCGCTGGAAGTGCGCTTCGAGGCAGGGACTATGAAGTAGATGACTAAGGCAAGAGTATTTGTGTTATTGGTGACGTGTGTGATGCTCTAGTGCGACTGACAACGCCCGCCCGCGAGATACTACTCACGACGTGTTGCTTTAGCGCCGCCTGCCGGCCTGCAGCGGGAACCACTGCTGCAGGCACTCGCTGGAAGTACGCTTCGAGGCAGGGACTATGAAGTAGATGACTAAGGCAAGAGTATTTGTGTGCTTAGTGTGTTACTGGTGACGTATGAGGTGCTCGAGTGTGATTGACAACGCCCGCCCGCGAGCTATTATTCACGACGAGATGCTCTAGTAACGCTTCCCGGCCTGCAGCGGGAACCACTGCTGCAGGCACTCGCTGGAAGTGCGCTTCGAGACAGGGACTATGAAGTAGACAATCGTAAAGGCCAGTGTAAAGCAAGATAACTGAGGCAAGAATATTTGTGTTACTAGTGACGTATGTGATGCTCTAGTGTGACTGACAACGCCCGCCCGCGAGATACTACTCACGACGAGATGCTTAGTAACGGTTCTCGTCCTATAGCGGGAATTAGTGCTGTAGGAACTCGCTGGAAGTTCGCTTCGAGACAGGGACTATGAAGTACACAAACGTTAAGGCCAGTGTATAGCAAGTTTTGGAACTTACTAGTGACTTAGGAGTGAGGCTAGATTCTAGGAAGAGTGACGTGTACGTCCACCTACCTAGTGTTAGTTCCTGCGTGAGACTGACAGCGTGCACCCGCGAGACAGCTGGGACTAGAGATGTGCCGCTGAGAAAGTTCTCGTTCCCGGCAATATTCCCAGTGAGAATATTCTCGAGAACCGAGAACGCTCCCGGGAATATTCTCAGTGTTCTCGACAGAATACATTTAGTTTTAATTTTAATTTTGTCTTTTATATGTGATATTATTTGTAATGTTTCGATGTTTTATTAACTGGGCGTTAAGACTAGTCGTTATAAACAAGGCATGAAACGTGTGAGTGAGATATTGCTGTCTTGCTCACTCTTTTCGTGGCGAACGCGTACCGCGGCTTTAGGACTCGGCTACGGTATTTGAACATCAGTGTGCCTCTGAGTTTTAAGGCCCTTGCCACCCTGGCGGATTGCAAGCGGATTCAAAGTGGATTTAAAGCGGAGTGGCGACGCGACGGAGAAGCCGCGTGAAAATATCGTAAAGCTTCCCAAAGGCTGCCCAGCCGAGCTGGATTCGATGATTGACTTTTTTTTCGAAGTTGGACCTACCTAACTGGACTGTTTGTCCCAGGTATACATTATTGTCAACAACCTCGAGTGTAGAGTCTCCAACTTTTAGAGGAGTGGGTGCAACACGGTCTTTAGACATGATTTTTAAATCTTGTCCATGTTCATTTTGAGACCCACTTGTTGAGAGACTCTATTGAGGCCATCGAGCATTGTGCCTAGATCTTCCACGATCTCAGCCATGACTACGATATCGTCTGCTGTCTGGGTGATGTACTCGCCGTTGATATTTATGCTGAATCCGCTCCAGCCCAGAAGCTTGAAAACATCTTCCAGGGCGGTGGTGATGACGTCTCCCTGTCTCACCCCTCGCTGCAACTGGATAGGTTTCGGGTCCTGATCTTAAAACGGACTGTCACTGTGGCGTGTTTGTACAAGCCTTTCAACACTTTAATGTATCAATAGTCAATTTGGCACAGTTGAAGAGACTGAAGCACTGCCCATGTTTCAAACGAATCGAAGGCTTTCTCATAGTTCACAAACGCAAAGTGGCTGATTATACTCCTTGATCTTCCGTATAATCTGCCGTTGCGTATATTATTATGGTATATGGTACTAAAGCCTTTTCGGAAACCGGCTTGTTCAGGGGGCTGAAAGTCGTCGAGCCTGCTAGCGTGACAATTCGTAATGACTATCGAAAACAGCTTGTAGACATGGCTCAGAAGCGAAATGGGTCTATAATTCTTCAACAAGGTTTTGTCACCTTTTTTGAAGAGGAGTATTACCATTCTTCTAAGTGTCGGATCAATCTAGCTAGCACGTATTTTCTATAAAAATGTGTCAAATGATCCGTCAGACAGGCTATCCACAACTTATCCAGAAGTGGCGAAACAGGCCCTTACTAAGCGATTGTGAAATATGCCCTTAATGTCAAATAAGAATAGTTTAAAAAACTAAAAACACGCTTTTAATTACTAACAGCACTAAAAAGCCAAAAATCATCAGGACCCTGGACATCATCTAGCATTAAAGTGCTCGAAAAGACAAATCCAACGAACCCAATCTCGATGAGTTTCCGCCGTTTCGTTTAGGAGTTCCTATGGCTACCTCCTGACTCCATCATTAGGACCCTGGACATTATCTAGCACTTAAAGATCTCGAAAGACATCCAATGAACCCAAACTCGATGTGATTCCGCCGTTTCGTTTAGGAGTTCTTTTGGCCACCTTCCAGTCCCATCATCAGACCAGCTGGTACCACA